ATACATTGTTTAGAGAACCCGTAGCAGGAGAGAGAACCAGGCTCTAACAGATGGGAAACTGGGCTTGGTTTATCTCAGTAAGGGTCTGAGAGAGAAGGGTAGCTGCTCTCCTGCCCATGATCACTGGGAAGGTAGGCTGACCCCGCTAACCCCCCTTGGGCTGTGTCCCTTGGCACCAGGGTTCATGGCACGGCTCACTGGTACAGGAGTTCGGACTGCTCTGCGCTCTGAATGAGAGCATTGTCACCGAGGATCCATAACACCTCGGCCTCCCCCAAAGGTGTCTCTCTTTCTGGTTGTCTCCCAGATATAGGCACTACTCATGCTCTGCTTTAAGCGCCCGGTTGCGCTCCCAGCACCGTTCAAGAAGCACTAGGCTACGTGCTCTGAAGGGGCAGGGCTGGTGGCAGAGAGCCCTCAGTGCTGCACCTGCCCTCTCCGGGCCTCAGTGCCATGCTCTGGTGGTGTTTTAAAGGGCCTGGGGCTCTGCTGCAATAGAAGCACTAACTGAATTACTGGGCCCTGGGGCAATTGCCCCCTTCCACCCTGCTTCCTTCTCCTTCGGCGGGCCTGAATATCTGAGTTGGAAAAGGATAGAGGCTGGCTTGGAACAGCAGATAATGGAGATGAAACTGAGCCTAGATGCTGGAGCCAGCAAGCTCTTCAGACTGCTTGGAAAACCTTTGAATATTCTGGCAGCAGACAGCAACAATGGTGAGGAAGCCCAGCTGCACAGAACACAGGCCAGACTATGCAAACACATTGAAGAGCCCATGCAGATTTGAGATAAGGCCCTGAGGCCAGAAATAAGCGATCAACAGGTAGGAGATCAGTGTAGAGTTGGTAGTGGACAAGTTGTGCCTCTCATGGTGTGTCATTGAGAGGAAATGTTGGAGCAACAAACGAGAGAGGGTGTCCTGTGTAATCCACAGCTTCTTGTTGCATCTCTCTGTTCCTCTCTTATGGTGTCTGGGTGTCAGAGGGAGGCTGAAAAGCCAGCTACCATCTTAGCTAACAGCACTGCTGGGTTTCTCAGCTGCTCCCAACTGTTAGATCCAGGGATCTCCATCCAGATGTGATCCCTGCTACTTGCAAACTGCCCATGGGCACAGAATTGCACCATGGGTGCAGAGATGGTGTGCAAAGCAGGTGCATCAGAGATTGCAGTAGCACACATTGCTCCTCAGCAGACCCACACTGCAATGTACTGGAGATAGCTGGAGACCGGGATACTTTGCCAGGCATCAGGCTGAAATCCTTGCACTATGTAGCTGATGGAGAGATTCGTATGGGGGAAAGTTTTGGGAGCTGGAAGATCCATGTTCCCCAAGGAAAATCACCCTGGAGCAGGACACTTAGAATGAGCAGGAGCTGACCTGCCAGGAGCTGCAGCATTTGTGACTGGAACAGATGAATTTGAGTGAGTCCTGTACTGAAATGTTCCTGAGAGTGTGAGAGTGAAGCTCTGTGGAGTGCTGGCATGTCCTACTGGCAGTGTTGTAGGGATGTGAAAGTTGCCAGGAGTGCAGGAGACCTTTTTCACTTTGGATTTCTACAGTGTATATTAGGGATGTTAAATTTCGATTAATTGACTAATCGAAAAGTTGATGCAATTTGCATTGGCTGTTTGATTAATCGATAGGGCACCTCGGCCTTTGAAGTGTAGCAACAGCCCTAGGGTTGTTGCTACACTTCAAAGGCGAAAGCACTGCAGGGAGCACAGGGCCAGCAGGGGATGCAAGCAGTCCCCCACTGGTCCCGGGTTCCATGCAGCGCTGCCGCTTTGAAATGGTGCGGGGAGCCGGCGTCAGGCTCCATGTAGCATTTCAAAGCAGCAGCACCTCATGAAACCCAGGGTCAGCGGGGGAATCCCCAACTGACCCTGGGCTCCACGCAGTGCTGCCTCTTTGAAGCATCCCCTCCTCTTTTCCCTCCCCTTGCTGCCTCTTTCTGATAGAGGCAGCAAGGGATGGGGGAGCCGAAGCAACTAGCAGACTAACCTGTAGACTATCCGATAAGCATTTACTTATCGGATAGTCGACCAGTCGGTCTCATCCCTAGTGTGTACCCTGATTGCAACATTAACAATAGCCTAGTATGTTTGTGTCAGTATTGTTGGCATGATTTCTTTTAGAACTTGTACCCAGAGAATTATTTTAGCTGCTGCTGTATCTTTAGGGAATTGGGCTAATGGGCAAGCACAGTATCATACTATCCCGGAGATTTCAGCTACTTAGTGTGAAATGTAGTTTGTGACTAGTGAACTGATAATTCCATGTGTTCAGCTTTTTACCATAGTAGCATATTGATTGTTTAGTATTTAAACTTTTTGAGACCATGGAACACCAAACAATAATATTTTTTTATATGGAACATTTATGAAAATTTTCTTCCAAAAAAAATTGTTGTCAGACAACAAAAAACAAAAACAAAAAAGAGGTCACGGAACACCTGAGAGTGGTTCATGGAACACCAGTGTTCTGCGGAACTTAGTTGAAGAAACACTGATGTAAATGGATCTCACGTTTTTGGTTTCCAGATTTTTCTTTTATGAACTCCCTTAATATTTGGAATATGCTCCCTTTGTGTGACTTTGGTTTGTTACATTGAGGTCAAGAATAGTAATGCTTTCATAAATATGCAACTGTTTAAAAGCTAAATGAGCAAGGGATTAAGGAAATATTTTAGTTAAGTGCCAGAATGAATCTGTGAAATTATAATCTCAGAGTTTGGGATGCATATTTAAGCCATGGTTTAGCTACACAAGAAATTAGCATTGAGGTTACAGTTTAGTGTGCGTTTTTTAAAATGTTTCTGACGTGGATGCTAACCCATGACACAAAGTCTAACTCCTTGCTTTTGCTCCTGTCTGACAGCGTGTTGTTTTAAAAAAACAGAGGCGTGGCTGTGTGGAATGGGGGGGGGGGAAGGGGCTTCATGTTATTGTTCAAGCAGCTTTTCCTTTATATGACTGTATGGGTGTAACTTTTTGTGAATGCTAATCTCAGGGTGAAGAAATTGGTTAAGACGTTTTAAATACTCCACCAAAAGTCACAGGAATGTTTCTCTCCCACATCTTTGGATGAGATCAGACAGAGGCAATGCTTGAGAGAGCCGTGGAAGTCTTAGTGGGTCAAGTCAGTGTGTCTGATTGCAAGAGGCTTGATATGATGCAGCTTCTACATGTGGTGGTGACCACCTTCTCCAGGTTTCATCACATGCCCAGGATTCCTTGTGGGAAGGAAAATTGATGGAGTGATGGCAAAGCATGCTCTCATGTCAGAATTAGGGATGTAAGTGACTAGTCAGCTATCTGATAAGCAATTGCTTATTGGATGGTAGACTAGTGACTCAACTAGTCACCTTCCCCCCCTCCCCCCCCGCTGCCTCTGTCAGAGAGAGGCAGCAAGGGGGGGGGAGCCAACTTAAAAGCTGGTTCCCTCCAGCACCTCCTCCGTGGGGAAAAGGGGCAGAGGTGCAGCAGGGAACTGGAGGCACTTTCACCTTTTAAATGCAGTCCCCCGCTGGCCCCGTGCACCCTGCTTCTGAAATGTACAAGAGCTTCTGCAGTACCAAGTCACATTCATGAAGATTAAGACCTTAGAGAGGATTGTGCCCCAATAAAGCCAAAGGTTTAGATTAGCTTCTGATTGAGGTAAGTAACATTGGAAAATATTTCATCAAGTCAAATGGTCAAAGAAATGGGGCTCTTGTACATTTCAAAAGCAGGGCGTGTGGGGCCAGCAGGGGACTGCTCGAGTCCCCCGCTGGCTGTGCTCCTGTCACTTCCACTTTTGAAATGTAGCAAGAGCCAGTAGGGCTCTTGCTACATTTCAGAAGCGGAGGTGCCGTTATCGGCTAATCGACTAGTCAATGCAAATTACATCAGTTATTTGATTAGTTGATTAATCTAAATGTAACATCGCTAGTCAGAATCCCTGTTAACCATTACAGGAAAACCTGTAGTCCTCCATACTTTGAAAGTTATCAATCTGAAAAATAGAGATAAAAAAGCAGTTCCTTAATTTACAGCCAGTGCCTCAGAACTAAATGCCAGTACATACACTGCAAAGCCTATGCCATATTTCCCTACTAAGGCAGATCTGGGTTGTGGTAACTCTGCATAAGCTGGATATTGTGTTCAGTGACAGTGAACTGGAGTAATATTTGTACTCAAGTTCTTTCCATTTATAATGAACAAATTCCCAGTACAGTACTGAGGTGAATTATTCCGGGTTGAAGTCTAGGTGGGGGTGGTGTCAAGAGTGGAAAAAATGCAGCTGTCTGCATAAAAAAAGTCTTGCAAATCAGAAACAGGGTATAAATCCTCAGTCTCCCAAATGATGGGTAGGTTAGCTATGTAAATCACTATTACATGATCAAAGCCAGGGAGAGCAGTATCCACCTCTTAAAGGGGAAATTACATTTACCTTATTTCAGCTGAGAAAACTTGTTTGATTTAGTTTGATATTTTTATTAGAGCACGTTTTAACAGACCCTAGTCCTCCATTGCTGCCTGGATGTTAACACACAGAATGTTGCTTGGTGGGAAAAGCTAAGTTTAAACACCATTTGACTTGATGAAATATTTTGAAATGTTACTTACCTCAGTCTAAACGTTTGGCTTTATTGGGGCACAATCCTCTTTAAGGTCTTAATCTTCATGAATGTGACTTGCTACTGCAGAAGACCTCTATTAGTGAAATTGTTTGAATGGATTTGCAAAGGAATCCAAGGAATTATGACTGTTTTATTTTTATTAATATGACAATGAAATTAGCCCTGTCATAAACTGGTTCCCTCTTGCCCTGATCTGACCATGCCATGCCTTGATTCCTTTCTGCACTTCATGTTGGTTTCTCAGGGTAACATTTTGCCCATGAAATGAGTTTTATTCAGAATTTTTAGACATTAATGATCATTGAAACATGTGACTTTTAATAGTTATGCAATTCTGTGACTTCCAGTGAATGAACTAGAACTTATCTTTTTTGCTTTAGGCTTTCAGATAAACTTCTGTGAAAAGGCACAAAGTAAGCTACACATTTTATAGTATTATGCTTTTATTTTTATTTTTTATATCAGTCTTGGTTCTGGGAATGTGTCCTCTGTTGTTCCAACTAACCAACCATGGCAATTATACATTGATTGAGCTTCCATTTTTCATATTGCTTAAAAAGTAGAAAAAAATGCAAATTGTTTTCTATTAGACCATTGGTTGTAAAAGTTGCAGATGCCTTTCAGACTTATGTCTGTTACAAGTAAATAATGAGCTAGAGGTGCACAGATAGTCATATTATTCACTGGCGTGTGACACATTGCCAACCTCCAGTGGAGTATGAACCAAGTGGGACTTAATTTTTGAACAGCAGCTGCTTTAAACTAGAAGTGTTTCTCAAAGAACATTTTCTTTTTTATGTAGCTCTATGTTAAGAAAAATTAATTAAGTTGAAGAATGCAACATTCTTGGGTCTGAGCAGCTAAAAAAGTTCCTTCTGTAAGTATTGGTCACATTGCTATTGCTTTGACTTTTTGCTACCTGTGCACCTTTGTGGGAGAAGAGTAGTGTAGGTAACTTTCTAAACTTGTATAGCCATTTTAAAGAAGGGTTGGAAGGCTAGACTAAAATCAGTCATTGCAAAGCAATTTTTGATGACTAATGGAAGCTCTTTAGGATTAATTTTGTTATTGTTTCTCTCATGGCTTTTCATACTTTGCATTGCTATGTCACTCAATTCACAGTACCCTTCACAATTGCCTTTCATGAGTTAGTGGAGTTTTATTGGAGACCAAAACATAGTTTTGTTGGTACCTCTCCCCAATCTTTGGTAAATGTTCTGTAGTTCAGTAAAAATCCACTCTGCATCTCATTCTGCATTCTAAATATATATTTTAAATTTTTTTGCACTTGATGGATATGCATATTATTTTAACTGAATTTTAGTATCTAGAGTTAATTGCTAATATTCAATAATTGGTGTCTTGGAATTTAAAAACTGATATCCAATGTACATGCTTGCTAGAAAAATGAATATAAATAAATGTGAGATGTTATAATGAGAATATTCTGCATTGTGGCGTGACAGTTTATATTTCGGTTAATGGCTATTTGCACTGCAACTCTGTTTGGATAGCTTTTACAAGAGGTACACTTACAAAGGTTCAGTGCATAGAAAGACAACTTGTATCACCACTCCGCTGGCGGACTGAATTAGACATGCCCTTTAACAATACAGTTTGTCCTAGAGTGCGGCAAATTCTAAAGTTTGTCCGGGAAACAGTATTTTAAATTCATTTTATAAAACAACAAATCTTAAGTAAAACTACCAGATACCGTGTCTTCCAAGTGTGAATGCCTAGCTGATTCCTGCTCAGATCAAAAAATGTTTTCTTAAAAATCAAACAAGCAAACAAAACCCCCAGAACATATAGATTGTTTACTGTGGCGATAAATGTGTTCATAGATCCCTGTTGAAAGAGTTTGCTACATAGGGAATTTGTTTCTGAGAAAAGCTGGCACTCTAAGTTCTGCCATCAAAGTTGACCTTTTAGGAAAGGTTGCTTTAATATTTTCACAGGACACTGTCCTTAATCTCATGTCAGCCTCTTACTGATTCTTTTCTGTCCCATGGACACTGAAAACTTTTAAATCAGAAATATTTTCTCAGTTTGTTTGTTTATGTCTGTCTGTCTTTACTAAGGACTTCGCATAAAACTAGGATCTTTTTTGAGTCCACTTGCAACCAGAATTCTCTGTTCATGTGGACATAGTCCTTCCCACTGGATGCAGAACTGCTCTGTCAGAGAAGTCTGGTTTTGCAAAGGGACTATGCAGCTGAACTCTTAAACAAAGCACAGGTCCCTGAAAATGAAATGAAACGAAAGTATGGGTTTTGCCAGCAGAATGGTTTGTATGCAAAGGAAAGGTTATTCCAAAATTTCACAGGAAGCACAAGCCTTCTGGAAAAGATCTCCATCACTGAACTGTGTAGAGCGCTACAAAGCAAGGAAGTTGTCATTGTGCCTTCTGAAGCTTCTCAGGTAGAAATATGCTAAGCACACAGGAGGGATGTAAAAAGGGTTAAAAAATACTAACCGTGTAATCAAAAACAATTTAATTGGCTACACAGTTACATGCCAGGATTTTTTTAACCCACTGGCAGCCTGCGCCACAGACTTCGGGGGCTACCAGCAGCTGCTGGCTGCCAACAGCTGGGAGTTGAACCAATAGCTGGAAGTGATAAGCATTATCAGTTAACCTGTTAACCAGTTAAACTCTTACATCCCTAAGTGCACAGTAAACCACTGAATAAAAGGAAAGCCATCTTTAACAAGCCAGTGGAGTAAAATGCACCTATCATCTAAGAGCTTGGAGAAAAATCGTCTGGCATGTGTTTTTGTTTTTTGTGTATGTCAAACAGCCCAGGAACACAGTGCTGGGTCGGGGACCCCAGAAGAAATGAGAGGTTTCTCTAAAGTCCTATTACTGCATGTTTTGAGGTCTCTACTTTGGGCGAAAGCTGTTTTGTCTCTGTGTCTGAAGGTGGAAATATGATTTAGCACAAGCTTTTTTGGCAGTGATGTGCACTCACCTTGGATGATGGAGACAGTCTCCCCAGTGTATTATTGAGATGTAGGATGTTGGGATTTCTTTTGCGAATTGCTTAGAGTTACTGTGTGGAAAAGGTACAAGGCAGTGTCCCAGCTGTGAAAATATTACCCAAGTACATAACTTTAACCATGTGAGTAGTCCCATTAAAGCCAATTAAAATGTTTTCATGTTTAAACATTTTGCAGGATCAGGACCTAGTAGCAAATAGAGGCATTCACAAGAGCTGAACTCAAACCTCTTGTCTGTTTAGCAAGACACCTCTGTTCATCATTAAATGCAGGTGGAAAACAATAGCAATGGACTAAAAATAACTGCTCTGTACTCAAACCATTTTATTAATGAGGAGCTGTCCAAGTAGACCTTTAGGTTCCTGCATGCTTATCTGTTTCAATCACTACATATACAGGAAACGTTGGCAAAAATAATTTTGAATTAGAAACATAACATGTAAAACGTTCCTGGAAGTTTGTCATATATGGAAAAAAGAGCAAGACCCACACATGTGCTTACCTGCTTCCCTAATCCTGATCGGTCCTACAACAATTGAAAATGATTTGGTCTTAGGTAAAGTAAAATATTTATAATAATATTTTTGCTAATGTCCATTCCTGAAATGAATTCAATTGGCTTATATAATTCCATTTCTAATTGTTGTGATAGGTTTACAAAATGTGAAAGACTCAATAGTCTTCAGAGGGAAGCATTTGAAGAGTCTAAATCTTGCCACACTATAGACTTCTAAATAATTTTATACAGTCCTCTCCACCTTTGAAATCTATATAATAAATGGGGAAAAAATTGTTCAGAGGTTGCAAACAGGGGAGGAAAACCTCTAAAGTGTTTTGCTGAGATAGGGGTTTTATTTGTTAGTGCAGCGGGCCCTCTGAGAGAAGATGCTTAGAAATATTTAAGGATAAATATCTGCAGTGGTTTGTACTTTTGATGAATCAATGCTCATTATCTGAGAGTATTTTGTGCAGAAAGGAGTTTGGGCACATGAGATTAATATTTTAATCAATTAATTAGCTGAGTATTTAAAATATCAAGGGAACTTTTAGAATTGAGAGTGTATGAAAACATTTCAGTTGTTCTGTGATATCATTTACCTGCTCGAAGACCATTTGACTTGTGCACAAAAGTTTCAGAAGTGCTCCACACCCTGCAGCTCCCATGGACAATTAGAAGACCTGCTGGATTCTGGGCACTTTTGAAAAATCTGAGCCTATAGGTCTCTGAATACAATGTAAGATTTAAATAAGGGTTAAGCTAGGTGGATTTACAGTTACAGCATTCTAGTTTGCCTTGTTAGTCCTAAATAGCATAGAGCTCAGATTCCCCTTCTCTTTGGCCTCTGTGCAGATGAGCATCAATTTATACTGCAGATCTATTTTCCTGCCAAAGAAACACAAGTTGGACTGTTTATTTGCAGATGTTCTCTCAGTTTTGTGTGCTTGAAGGTGGAAAGCTGAAGCAAATGGGTATTAATATTCCATTGTGGGCAAAAGTTATGTAATTTGTTTGTTTGCAGGTTCTCCCTTTCTAACCTGTGAAGCAGACCCTCAAATTACTGTTTTATACCCAATGGAACTGGCAATTTTTGATCGCCGCAATCCGTTCTTCTCTCAAAGTGTGTGCTGCATCCTTAAGAATTTCAGCTCTGCCTACTTTGGTGCTTTGTTTAAACTACATGGATTGCTGACAGAGGCAGATGAAATAGTGGTTTTCTGCTGAGCTGTGTGTTAGACACCATTGTGCTAACCAGTGTTACTAGTAGTATTATTGAATGAGGGAAGAGGCTGCAGTGTGATCAACTTTCTGATCTCCAAAAAAAAAAAAAAAATCCAACTTTCCTTTCCCAGCAGCTTGTGCCAGCAGCTTCTGTCTTGTGCACTCAGGCACAGCTCCAGGGAGTAACTGAAAGCAAGACTGAGCATACAACTTCTGTTTCCCCAGAGAAAGAGAGCTTAGCCTAGTTCCATTTCCCTTTGCATTTTTGTATTAAAATCCTCTAAATACCAAGCGACAAGGTGCAGTTGAGGCTGACCGCACAGCTCCAGATCTTCAGAAGCCCTGAAGCTGGGATCTGTTTGCTGTTTTGCTGTGTTCTAAACTGTCAGAAGGGGTGGGGTCTGGGTTGCCAGTCCAGTTCTCTCTCACATATTTTCCATTAACACTGTTTGCTGATAGTACATGTGTGTGGAAATTGTTTGCCTTCAACAGTCTGGAGAGTGGTCGAACAATCTTTTCTATTTGTATCTGCATTCTGTCTTTCTGGGGTGATTGTTCAAACTATTTGCTCTATATGTCCTTTGATGATTAGAATCTGTTCCAGTTTCACTTTTATTTTTCTTGGTTGAGAATCTGTGGAGTTTGCTCCAAGTTGTTAGAAGTATCATCATCGAAAATTATTTTTCAGGCTAG